TGTTTTTATCATTTGTTCTAATTCTGATATTTTTTTTTCTACTTAGATAGTTGCACTAATGTATTTTTATTAAGAAAATATAAATACTGATACAAATATTATATACTTAATTTCAAAGACCCAACTCTCCTGACTGCTTCTTTAAGTGCCCAGGAGTGACCTACCATATCAGGCAGTAATAAGACTACCTGGAAGGCTATTTTTGACTACCACCCTACAATAGAGTATTACCAAACTGATAATACTTTCTTGTAAGGAAGTGAAAAAAAGAAAAAAACTAAACTAAACTAAACTAAAAAGAGATATAGGAAGAAAAAGAAAAAAAAATAAGTGTTGAAAAGCACATCTTATTATAACCATTTCAGTAAAGTTACTAATACTTTAAACTTGTGCTAAGGATCTGACTACACTTTAACCTGTACTAAAGAGGTAAAAATTCTATATATATAATTTTAGAAATTACTATATATCTTTAATTTGCTATAATTCTTCAACTTAAATTCTTCTTTTTTTTTTATTATATCATATGTTAGGCTATATACATGATTGTTGTATTCCTATTACATCATGTTACAACACATAACTGTTTAAAAAAGAAAATGGTAAACAATGCTAATCTTTTATAAAGAGAGAGCCAAATTCTTCACTTTTGAGTAAAAAAAAATAAAATAAATGAAGAAGGTCGACAAACATGATATATGAAAAGCTAGACTAAAGAGAGTGTTTCCAGCTATTTGTTCTGTTTTTAAGCTTTTAATAATCTTTAACCAAAGTTTTTTCTATTGTTTTTAGAATATCCTTCTGGTTTGAATACTAAACGTATTAAGGAGTCCATCTGCAGAAAGGTTTGACCTTGACACAAACTACCAAAAGAGTCACCTGCATCTCAGTTTTTCATATACTTCTAGTTTATTAGCAACAATCTGCTTTTTATATTAAAACAGAATCAAAGATATCATCTACTTAAAAACACAACTCTTCAAACTGTTTTGGTACTAGTTTGGTTTAAATAATTATCAGAGAGAGTTGATTTTTTTTAAATTCAATTCTGTTATTATAATAGAAGATAGAAGATTGTTGTATATATTGTTTTGAATATTGTTAAGTAGAATGTAGGTTGTTTCCTATTCCTTCTAATTGTTTTCATTAGAAGGGTTACTTCTAGTCTATTCTTTAAAATATTGATATGTTGCTTCTTTAATTTTATTTTTCTCTATAATTACTTCATCTGATTAAATAATTTTTTCAAAACTAATTAGTTTTGCTCTTCTTTTTAATATGTTATCTAATATATAGCTAGTATTATCTTTAAAATCTGAATATCTCTAGTTTGTATAGAATTTAATTCATTTACTTTGCTTTTGTTTTTTTTCAAAATTGTGTACCTGTCAGATTATATATTTGTAGTGTTTTATTTGTACTGTTAACTCGGAAAGTAAGAAGCTTATTTGTGTTTGTATTATTAGAAAAATATTAATTTCTGCTAGTTTAGCTACTTTTGACAAGTGATAGTTAGCTTTTGCTAGGTTATTTGATAGGTTATTACTAAGATATTAAAAATATTTGTTAATATATTTTAAAACAGAATGCAGTTTAGTAGCTTTTAGTAAAAATGTGAAGAAGGACTTTGATATTATAAAGGTATATAGAATATGTTTGTTTATTGTTTTTTTAGTTTTTGCTAACTAAAAATTCTAGGTCTTATTTATTTTATCTTTATTTATATTAAGTAAAGAAGTATCTTGTATATTAAAAATATTATCTATTGCATTTTCAAAATTGTTTCAGTCTTCTGATGTCATTTTGTTGAATAAATAAATTTTCTTTTTTTCTTTTTGTTTCTGAAATTTTTTTGTAGTGAGAAATTAGTGTGTCAAAATGTATATAAAATACAATGATTATTGTCAGAGATGTATAAAGCATTAACTAGTAATGAAGGTTCAAATACTAGCAGTATATCTAAAAAGATCCAGAAGTCATCAATTTGGCTAGCATTGTTAGAGTCTTGCCAAATAGGTACTTGAATATTATAAAAGGTTAAAAGACTAGTTAAATTAGCAATATTTAGTTCAGTATATAATAAAAGATATTTGTTTTTATGTTAGTAAATAATGAAAGATATTTGTTTCTATGTTAGTTAACATTAAAGTCTTCTAATATGATTATATGCTAGTTTCTGATTTTAGATTCTGTAGTTCAAATAAGCAGTTAAAATTAAGTATACTTTAAGAAAGAAGCATGATTTTAAGGGAAGATAAGTTAAGATAATACAAGATTTATTATTATTAGAAAAAAAGAAATTTATATAAATTGCAATGCCTAGTAAGGTATTAATTTTGTAAATATATAGTTGTAGTTAGTTGCAAATCATTAAGACTGTTCTCAGACTGGTTTCATATTAATTTAGTTTGTAGAATATAAAATTTAAGAGATATATATATCTTGTATAGTAAGTTGGTTAGTAATCTTATTGTTGATTTTTTTAGTTTGAATTTAATTAAGTGACATATGGTCTTAATTATATTTGTTATAAAATTTATATTTGTAAGATAATTAATTATAATTTTTTATTCAAGTTTAGTGTATATAGTATTTTTAATTGCTCTTGTTATAATTGTGATTTTATGTTGTGTTTTATAATTTTCGATTGCTTCTTTAAACAGGTCTTTGTATATAATTTAGTAAGATGATATGGATTATTTATCTCTTGTAAATATGAAGAAAAAGATACAATACTAATGTTTGAATTTTGTCTTAATTGCAGAATAAAGAGAAAAGTTAGTTGGTTTAGTTTACAACTTATATACTATGAAGTTATAAATTTTTTTTTGTTTTAAGTATAATAATAGTTTCATCATATTCTCAAACATTTTTGACAAAGAGTTAGGTAATTTTATTTTGTAAGTTATTGTATATACTATCTATTCATTCTTGAATGTACTTTAATTTCATCTTGATTTGTATTTTGTTAAATATAAGAATATTTTTTTTGATTATTTGATTATAAATAAGTGGTTTGTATTTTTCTAAATTGCTGTCTATAGTTGTAACAAATTTTGTATCTATATGATTATTATCTATATATGTGTGTTCTTTGTTATCTAAGGTGCTATGTTGGTTGTCTGTCTAGTTTAGGCTATCATTAGTATTAGAATTTTTTAAAATAAGTTCTATTAGAAATGTGAAATTGGTTAATTCTGTTGGTGTTTATCAAAACTAATTTGTATTAGTTTGTTGTTGTTATTGTTTGTATATGATAATATTATGATTGAATTTGATGAAAATGAGATAGATTGCTCATTTTTTACATTGTTTTGAGATCTTGAAAGAAGAATTCATCATTTTTTTACTAGTGTATCTAAGTAAATAAAGTCTTTTTTGGTACTGGTTCTGGCATATACTTATTTTTACAAGTGATACAAATCTAAAAAGGAAAATTTTCTATATAGATTGCAAGGTCAGATGGAATATTATATAATATGAGATCAAAGGATTTTTAAAACATTACTGTTAATTCAAAATTTTGTCTAGAAAATCATATTTTAAATTCTAATAAAAAAATTATTAACCAGATTTTACTATATGACCTATCTAATACAACCCTTAATCATAACCCTAATGCTAGTCAAATTTCATATACTTTTAGTGAAATGATAATTATTTTCTTTTTTGAGCTTATATCATTTGTAGAAATAAGTAAATATCTAATTCTGCTTTTCAAGAAACTGTTGTTATAGGAACTTGTAATTTGCTTTCCTATTTGTAATTTTAGTATAATTTCAAAAAAGAATATGAATAAGAGACCTATAAACCTATATTGACTTTCTTTAATTGTTGAAATGTTGTTAATTCCATTTTGTTTTTTTTTAATCTTGTTCAAGTTTTCTAGTTTATCTTGTCTATAAACTATGAACTCAAAACCAGAAGCAACTGTTAGTTACTAAAAATTTATTTATTTTGTAAATTTCTATGTATACGTTTTGCCGATTATTTGTTTACTTAGTATTTTGTAATCTACAGGAAAGAGTTTAACTTTTGGATTAGTTTAGTTAAACTTGGAAATTTTTTTTTTTGAAAGAACTATTAATTTGTTCCCTTTTCTAGACTGCAACTCTTGTTATTTTATAAATCTATATATGGAATCTTTGCTACATATGTAGGAAAATCATTTTCCGATCATACTTACTTGCATGCTACCTTTATTGATTCAAAAGTTTATTGATAAGTTGTTGGATCAATAAAAACAAAAGAAAATTTATATGTAAATGAGAACCAGTAAAGATTCCATATATTTGAAATTTCTTAAAGTCTTTTGTTTGAAATAAACCTTCAGAATACTGCTTTAGGTCTTGCCAAAGCTTTATATAGAAAGTGATTTATGTACGTACGTACCACTTTGAAATTATCATTTAGAGTTATCTAAGAACATATTCTTACCATTAAATTCTGGAATCCTTTAGTCTGCCTTCTAATATACACATACTTAATCGTTCACATAAAAGACTTATAATGTCAATCGATGACGTTATATTGCTAAAACTTTTTGTTAAAACTTTCTCTATTATGGAAAGGTCTGTGATAATCTTGAATCAAAATACTATTTTCGGTCCAGTATTCCTGCTATTACATAATATTTATGCACTTGTCATGCACTCGTCATGTGGAATTTATTTATGTAACACCTCATTAATGAACTTCCTTAAATTCGAAATAAGGATTCGTTTTATCTAATTCATTATATTTATTATTACGTTGAATATTTCTTACGTATAAGTATCAAAACTTAGTTACCGTGTTTTTGGTACTAATTTTACTAATTTGAGTAAAGATTTTAATTTTTGGTTTATTCTTCTGTGTGACAACCAGTTTAAGCTTAGTTCATGTCACACAAACATTTTTTTTTTTGACCTGTCAATCTTAATCTTACGTATCAATTTACTGTTCTTTAATCTTATTAATTTTTCGAAGAGGATTTAATTTTACTTTTTGAAATTGTAAACATGAATATATTCAGCAATAAAACTAAAAGAACTGCGGTATCCGCATGGATCGGTATGCAAGTTATTGTAATTCTCTTCAAAATTGATTGTATTTATCCTATATCAAATTAATTTATAATTCAAGAACGTATGACTTCGAGTCGTTATGAGGAAGATGATCTATCTGATATGTTTCAATTGTGCGAAGCTATCAGATTGCAAGAGACCGGGTATAATACTTTATATTTCTTGGTCATTTAAATTTTTATTATAGTTCTATGCTGAGTATTTTTATATTTCCATTGATATAAAGGCCTAAAGAAGCTAGTAAATCTTTGAGAAATGTTTTTAAATATGGTGATACTCATTCTCAGCTTCGTGGTCTCACTGTACATTACCTATTTTTTATTTTTATTTTTTTAAAAAAAGTTCTTTTTATTTTTTTATCCGATCTAACAGTAACGTTATTTGGTTAATTGGATTTTTTTTAGATTTTAAAAGCATTGGTTGATAATATTGGTGAAAGTTTTCAAGGTATATTACCAATTATATAGTATGGTTTCAGATTGTTAAATGAAATAAAAATCCAAACTAGTATATTATTTTGTAAAGCTCATATTTCCACCCCAAAGTTTGTTGAACTGCTGAAATCTATGGCAAATTCTTCGGTATGTATAAGTATTTATATTGAAAAAAAGATTCTCATTTATCTTGGTATTTCATAAGATTTTTATCATTCTAGGCTACCGATCCGAGAGTCCACAAAAGTTTAATGTTACTGCTCTCTCAATGGTCCAATAATTTCAAAAATCAACCCAATATGTACGCTGTATCTCATTTATATGATAATGTAAATCATAAAGCTGGTTATTCTAGGAGAAATTCTGGCACGAGACCTGTCCCTCAGATTCCATCTTCCACAAGTTCTAAAGATGAACGAAAAAGTTTGGATAAATCTAATAATAAAAGAGCACAATCTCCTCCTACTTATTCATACGAAAAAGTATATTTTTGTTTTTTTTTTTGTTTTTTTTTTTGTAAAATATTATGTTTTTACTTGTAATTGAAACTCACTTCTTGTTTTAAGATTAATCAAGAAATTGGGATGGCTGCTCAAAATGCTACAAATCTTGAAAATGCTCTTATATTACTAACCCAAAACACAAATATTGAAAAAGATCCTGAAATTCAGGTACACAATATTATTGGATATTTAATATTTGAAAACTTTAGTTACTTATATTTTGTTTTCGTTTAGAAATTGGTTCGTAAATGCAAAGATTCATCCGAACAATTAGTCAAAATCATACCAACTATAATGGATGATGATAAAATTGGTACTTACAATTATAATGTTCAATTTTATTTTCATTCTTTATTACTATTCTGCTTATTACTTATGTCAATATTTAATTGTTACACATATAAGGTCCTTTATTACAATCAAATGATCAAGTGCAAGCTGCTTTATCAAAATATTCGGAATACTGTGAGTCTTTCCCACAAAATTCAAAATCGAAAAACATTTCATCAGAAATAAATCAAAAAAAAATCACATCCCAATCACAAGACGCTGCCAAGGTTTTGATGTTGTATAATAGATCATTACAATGTTTTTATTTTTGTTTTATAAAACTAATTTGATTAACATGTTTTTACATCAGATACACAAAGATCTTGACCTCATTGATTTTGATTCATTTTATTCATCAAAGTAAAAAGCATTTTAATAAATATGGAGGAGTCAATAGAAAAGGGACAAATCATTTTTAGGAATTTTTTTTAATTTTCAAATTAAAATATCTCAACAAATCTAATTAAATTTAATAAATTTTTTTTTATTTTAATTTTAGAATTCTATAAAATTAAAATAAATTTTTTTTTATCAAATTTCATTAGATAGTTTTTAAGATATTTAAGCTTAAAGTTGAGAAACCTTTTACTTAAAACAAATTGTCTCTTTTCTATTAACTTTTCCTCATATTTTTTTACACATTACTTTACTATTCGAATTTTATTAATGAGATTTTCATATATAGTCACTCTGCAAATAACAATATAGTTTATGACAATAGCTTGCTCGATGATCCATTTGCAGATCCCTTTTCTGACCCTATAATGGAAACAGAAATTAGTAACAATAAATCGAAGAAAAAACTCGAATGGTGAGTCAAAAAAAAAAAGAAAAGCAATAACATTATTTTTCGTCATGTACATTATTTAAAATAATATTTACTATTCTTAAATTATAGGACGGAGGTCTGATTTAGAGTCAAATTTTTGGTCTCTTGTAAATACACTCTTGGATGCTGTTATTTTCTTTCACATTGTGTACATTGGTTTATAAAACTTTGCTGTTCATATTTTACAGAATTGACCAACATTATACATTTGGTGTAATGCTTGTAAACTACAATCTAATAATGTAGTATCTAGGGTTTAATATTTATAATGATTAAATGTTTTTTTTGGTTTATAAATACACATCACTCTCGTTATAATGAAATCATCGAAAAATTTTTGCTATAGCTTATACAGAGGAAATATTAGTATATCGAAGCCGAATTTCAATAGTATTGTAGCTTAAAATTCAAGATTTCATTATTACGAGAGTGACTTGTAGTTGACTGTTAGGACTGTATAATAAAAATATATAGCTAAGTGTATATCTATATGTATGTTACGGGTGGATTTGGATTCAGAATCCATTTAGTTGGATTCAGAATTTACTTAAGTGGATTTTGAATCTTAAAATAACTTAAGTAGAAAGCAAACCAAATTTTAAATAAAATTGTATATCAAAAAATGAAATTATTCTCAACATCATGCTTTCTATGGTATTTCTATTTTAAAATTGATACTATGCCCCAAATTAAAACTACAGTCGCATCTCCTAAGTGCAAGTACTATGTAAAACCTCTCTAAATGCACAATACGGTTTGGCCCCAACTTATAAGAACCCTATGTATTTTATTCTCTATAAGTGCAAACATCCTCTAAGTGCAATATTTTAATTTTTTTCACTATGGTCCCGACGGGATGCGCTTAGGGAAGTGCGATTGTACATTCTTTTTTTACATTTGTGTTAACTATAGTAAAAGTAAACTATAATTTTTTAAAAAAAATGCGAATTGGCATATTTTTATTAGGTTATGCTAAAAATACATTGAATTATTTATATGTGTGGAGTTCAGGTTTTTTAATAACCTGACTATTTTAAGTTTTTTTTTTGTGTGAATTTAGAATTTAACATTCTTTTTTAGAGTTGATAACATTTCTTCATCTAGTCTAAGTATAACATAGTCAGATCTCATAAATAATCATTAAGTATAGTTATAAAATTGGTTCTTATAACTGTGTATTAGAGATATTGAACATTGTTATAATTTCTTTTGTTATAGTAGTGTATTTAGGAATTTATAACCATTAGTTCAAATTATTTTGTTAATCTTACATTCTAGTACAAAATATTCTAATGATTGTTTTTGTTTCTATAATTAAGGCAGTTTTTATTTATATTCTTATTAATATTTATAAGTTAAGATTTTAAAAGAAGAGGTTTGTTATGTAAATAATTAACTAAAGTGTCTTGTTAGATTTCTTGTAATTCTAATAGAAATTGTATGATTGTAGGTTTTATTGATTATAGTTTTAAGAATTTTGTTGTTTTTTAATTAAGAATTGATTTCTGATTTATATTTTTTTTTAATATTAAGATGAGTACTTGTGATTCAGGTTTTATTGATAGTATATTTTGGTTAGCAACTACTGTTTAACAATTACAAAGACAACCATGAAAAGAGTTACAACTAGTTCCTTATACAACTTTAAGTATTGTCTAATTTAAGTAGCTCATCTTAAGATTCTACACTAGTTGTCATACTTAAGACCTATCTGATAAATTGATGAAAATATGCTATATTCACTAAGTTATATTTAACTTTGTATTAAACTTATCAGAGTTTTTTGTATTTCATACTTATAGTTGATCTAGTATCACTTTAGTCTAAATTAGCACTTGCAATTAGGATTAACTATTAAACTGTTATACTTTTGTATAGTTTATTCAAACCCTAGTATCTATTTTTTCTAATATCTTTATCATTATTTTCTACTAACTATAACTAAGAACTGACAAGATTCTTTAAACTTTTAATTCAGATAGCCTAGTATAGTATATCTTAGTATCTTTTTCTTCTAATGATTTTGGTAGTCTGGTTGGTTATATGCATCTTTATACATCTTGTTATCTAGTTTATTTGCCTATTTTTATTAAAGATATTTTATAGGTTTTTATCAGTTTAACAGTACTATTGAAAGTTTGTATTATTTTCTTATTTAGGATTTCTAAATAAGTTTTTGATTTCTTAGTTTTTTTATTTCTGTACCTAGTAGTTTTATTATAGATTTGTATTAAAGTTTTATATAATACTAGTTATTAATATTTTTTTATATATGTATAATATTATACTTTGTATAGATGTTTTAAACTTTTATTTGAGATAGTGTAACTAAAGGTTACAGATATGTTAATTCAACTAATCAATAGAATCAATTATTATAACAATTAATTATTATAACACTGATATAATTTTTAAAATTTATTATTTGTAAGATTTAAACTCTAGACTTACTATTTAGAAGTTGACAACCTGTCTATTTTACTAAGTTATTACATCTCAATCTTCTGATTTATTAATATTTTTAATTTTTTTTTTTTTGTATTAAAGTGACCTCTTTGGTCTTTTGACTTTTATTAATCACTTATCGGTATTGTAGTTCAATGAACTACTACAGGAGAGCATACAA